GTAACATCTGAAGGTTACCACTGTTGCTGCAGGTAACTTGGTGATTCTACAGCCCATAAGCTGTTCATCCGGCTGTAGATGGATGACCCAGTGGAGAACTTCCTATCCTGCTTTCTTTTATATGAAGCAATTCCCAGTCTTGTAAACCAATGGCTGAACTATCATAGTTTATTGATGCTATCCAGAATACCTATGAATTGTGCTCCAGCAAGCCTGCAGATAAATGAAACCTGGCTCAGAGCCTCTCTCTCTCTGAGTGTTTTGAGAAATCTAAAGGAAATATTTTATTTTCTCAATACCTTTTTTGAATAGAGCAGTTTTGATATGAAATGTTTGTTAAATGACAGCATTACTCATGGCTCAGCATTACCCTCTTCTGTCAGCATCACTGGCATCTGTGGCCTGGGTGTCATCTGCATGCAATGCATGTGTAAGCCTTCTATTTTTGTTTTGTTTCTCTTGTACTTCCTCTTCGCATCTCCTTCCCTTTCCTACTCTTCGTCTTTCCTTCCTCCTCTTAATTGTTCTAGTTTCCTTCCTCTTCTTTCCTACTTCTCTTACTCCTCCTTTCTCCTTCCTTTCTCTTCTTTTTTGTCTTATTTTCTTTCTCTTTCCTCTTCCATTCACCCTCTTCCTTTTAACTTCCTCCTATTCTTTTATTCTTCCTTTATTGTTTACCTAATTTTCCTCTTAACTTCTACTTCACCCTTCTCCTCCTTTTCCTTCTCTTCTGCTTTATTTTCCTCTCTCTTTCCTTTCTCTTTTCTTTCCATCTTCCTTTTGACTTCCTCTCCTTTTTCCTTTAATCTTTTACCTCCTTTTCCTCTTCTACTTCACCATCCTGTCTGCTTCCTCTGTTACATTATTTTTCCTCAACTTTTCCTTCCTGTTTACTTCTCTTTCCTTTTTCTTTTCTCCCATTTCCTTTCAACTTCCTCTTCTTCACCACTTCCTCCTTTTCTTGTTTCCTTCCTCTTCCCTCCTACTTCCTTTCCTCTTTTCCTCTTCTTCCTTCTTCACCACTTTTGCCTTGCCCTCTCCTTCCATTTCAGTTCTTTCCTTTCATTTTCCCGTTTCCCTTCTACTTCCTCTTCCTCCTCTTCACTTCTCATTTTCTTTCCCCTTCCTTCCTTAATCGTCTTCTTAGTTTCTACCTTATATCTCTCTATCTCTCCCTTCACTTTTTTTCCTCTTTCTCCCTCCTTTCACTTCACTTCTCCCCTTTCCTATTTACTACTTATTTATATCTCCTTCTTCCTTCTCTTCCTTTCTACTTCCTCTTTTTTTCTTCACCGTCTTCCATTGCTTACCTTCTCCTTCCTTCCTTCCTCCTTTTCTCTCTTTTATATGAAGCAATTCCCAGTCTTGTAAATCAATGGCTGAACTATCATAGTTTATTGATGCTATCCAGAATACCTATGAATTGTGCTCCAGCAAGCCTGCAGATAAATGAAACCTGGCTCAGAGCCTCTCTCTCTCTGAGTGTTTTGAGAAATCTAAAGGAAATATTTTATTTTCTCAATACCTTTTTTGAATAGAGCAGTTTTGATATGAAATGTTTGTTAAATGACAGCATTACTCATGGCTCAGCATTACCCTCTTCTGTCAGCATCACTGGCATCTGTGGCCTGGGTGTCATCTGCATGCAATGCATGTGTAAGCCTTCTATTTTTGTTTTGTTTCTCTTGTACTTCCTCTTCGCATCTCCTTCCCTTTCCTACTCTTCGTCTTTCCTTCCTCCTCTTAATTGTTCTAGTTTCCTTCCTCTTCTTTCCTACTTCTCTTACTCCTCCTTTCTCCTTCCTTTCTCTTCTTTTTTGTCTTATTTTCTTTCTCTTTCCTCTTCCATTCACCCTCTTCCTTTTAACTTCCTCCTATTCTTTTATTCTTCCTTTATTGTTTACCTAATTTTCCTCTTAACTTCTACTTCACCCTTCTCCTCCTTTTCCTTCTCTTCTGCTTTATTTTCCTCTCTCTTTCCTTTCTCTTTTCTTTCCATCTTCCTTTTGACTTCCTCTCCTTTTTCCTTTAATCTTTTACCTCCTTTTCCTCTTCTACTTCACCATCCTGTCTGCTTCCTCTGTTACATTATTTTTCCTCAACTTTTCCTTCCTGTTTACTTCTCTTTCCTTTTTCTTTTCTCCCATTTCCTTTCAACTTCCTCTTCTTCACCACTTCCTCCTTTTCTTGTTTCCTTCCTCTTCCCTCCTACTTCCTTTCCTCTTTTCCTCTTCTTCCTTCTTCACCACTTTTGCCTTGCCCTCTCCTTCCATTTCAGTTCTTTCCTTTCATTTTCCCGTTTCCCTTCTACTTCCTCTTCCTCCTCTTCACTTCTCATTTTCTTTCCCCTTCCTTCCTTAATCGTCTTCTTAGTTTCTACCTTATATCTCTCTATCTCTCCCTTCACTTTTTTTTCCTCTTTCTCCCTCCTTTCACTTCACTTCTCCCCTTTCCTATTTACTACTTATTTATATCTCCTTCTTCCTTCTCTTCCTTTCTACTTCCTCTTTTTTTCTTCACCGTCTTCCATTGCTTACCTTCTCCTTCCTTCCTTCCTCCTTTTCTCTCCCCCTTCCATCTCCATCTTATCCTTCCTCCTCCTCTTCTGTTCACCTTCTTCCTTTATCTTCTCTTACCTCCTCTCCTCAAAGGTGAACACCATAGTAATCCAATACAGCTCTTGACATTTGATTCTCTTGTGCAGAACTGCATGATTGCCATAATTGTTCTCACCTCACCCTGCTCACCCCGCTGTGTGCCAGAAAGCACAGAAGCTTTTCGAGCTCGCACTGTGCCGAGAAGCACACAACCGCATTGTTGTCAGCAGCAATGGCATTCACTTTCATGTTATTTGAAAAAATTAATTCACCTCGTTACACCTCACGCCTTTCAAGGCCTCCGCCGCTTGATCCTCTTCTTTACCTCCCTCCCTGCTGAAGCGTTTACCGCCTGCTTCATCATCTCTTACTGGGGCAGAAGTTTAAAAATGTATTCATTTCATAATCTTATTTTTTGTTTATCATTTTTTCATCTAATTCCCTTCCCACACCAAATCCAATTTTGCCAGGCACATTGTTTGAGAGGCAGCAGGATTTCTGTGGAGTGCTTTTTTGTTTGCTCCCCTCTCTCTTTCTCTCTCTCGACTTGGAGCAACCTAGATTGTGTTATGCAATTTTATTAGTGTAAAATCAAATCATGGAAGATAAACCGGACCCCGCACTTGAAACCAGCAGGGATTTTCAGTTTTTCGAAAAGATTTGTGAAGTTAACGCTTTATCTTTCCTTGTAATTGATCATTTACATGCAAGATATATATTACAATTATCTCTGCATGAAATTCAATTAAATTAAGTAAAAATGAGCATATCGTTTTAACTACTGCGAGTCGTTCTCCTTTAAAACATTTAGTGATAACACGGTTCAGTATATGTTTCGTGTGTGATCCTCACCAGCAGTCTAGAAGACTTCAGGGCAGCAATTCAAGTAGATTTGCGATGGAAGAATTGATTGTTATGGCAGTCACTATTAGGTTAAGACCAGCACCCTGCCGAGAGGAAGAGGAAAGGCAGAGAGTGAAAAGTGGTACAAACAGTTTTGCAGTGCTTTCAACATGGTGTTGTAATGCCCACAGGGAAGAACATCCATGTTCAACAGCTCTCTTTCACATCCTGCAATCCAAAACCTTTTCTAGTGCTCAGAGTGTCTATGGAGAAAATGTGCTGTGTTTATTTGCAGCACATTTTTATAATCAATTAGTCGGTGGGTTGTATAAATGACTTGTCGTTCTTGAGGAAGCATTATATAATTAGTGAGATTGAGGGTTATGTTCACTAGACTAGACTTCTGTAGGGGGCATTCAGATAAGTATTTAAAATGTTAGGAGAGAGTGCAACAACGTCTTAATACAAGTTTATAAAACAAGCTGACTGCATGCTAATACTCAGAGAAATTGTGTTTTTAAACTAGTGTGCTGCTAAGAATGCTAAGGTCATTGCTTTGATTCTCAGGGAATGCAAGAACTAAAATAATCTATATAGACCCTTGAAAACAAGGATAAAACCCATCTTGTTTTGGGTAAGATGTACTCTCTTCAAATGCATAAATACATATGCAAATTCATATGTAAAGCTAAAACAAACATGCGTTTGTCCACCACATCCAGATTTCTTTCTCAGTCTGGTCACACACGTGCCTTTAAGTATCTCTGAGAGCCTAACGCACTTGATACGTGGGGTTGATTGAAGGATTGGTAGGTGGAAAGCCATGTTTTTATTTATACCTCCTCTGCAAGAATAAATAAAGTTACACAGACAGACAAGGCAGTTCATATCTCCCTGACTGAGGAGAGGAGGAAACAGAGAAAGCAGACCCAATATTGAGGTGCAGCTTTATGTGACTTAGATTGAGAGTGCAGTGTGTGCAAAAACATGAACTCACAGACACCACACACACTCAAAAAAATGAAATGGATATGAAACACTCTTTCAAGGTCACCTACGGGGCATGTGTGTGTTAGAAATGTTTTGTCTGTGATTCACTTCCACTAGGCTAGAGGGACTTTAGTGGCTAGACAGAGATTGTTTTCAATGCTGGAGCACCTATATAGTGACTGGCTTGTACCTGTGTAACTTAATGGAACAAAGAATGTTCTCAAAATTGCATTGCTAATATTAGAAAATCTTTTCTAATTTTAAAGTTTTCCAATTCACTGATTTATTAAACAGTTTTGACCCTTTTGGTGGAGAATCGCACCATGGAAATCGATTGCAGTGCAGCTTTTATTGCAGTATTTATGGCATTACCTAATTTGCATAATTTGTTAAGTGATACAGGCACTGAAAAACATGTGCAAATAAGCAACAGAAACTCAAAAAGATTGAATATGTATGACATTTTAGTGTGTATTATTTATAGTATGTCTGTTTTAGCATCGATTTGTGTTAGTGTCATCTACAGTGGTATTCCAAATCTTATATGGTTCTTTCTCTCTTTTTTTGCAGTTCGGCCTGATAAAACCCTTCCCAAAGAGTGGAGAACCTGTCAGCGAATTATGAATGATAAACAAGATGACCTCCTCCCTGATGCAGCAGACGATGAGAGGTCTTAGGTGGAACCGGGCCCTGTCCGACCCATTGTTCGTGCTGTCGCTGGCCCTGCAGCTTCTGGTGGTGGCTGGCCTGGTGCGAGCGCAGACCTGCCCCTCCGTCTGCTCTTGTAGCAACCAGTTCAGCAAGGTCATCTGTACGCGACGTGGCCTTCGAGATGTACCCGATGGTATTTCCACCAACACAAGGTACCTGAACCTTCAGGAGAACCTCATCCAGGTGATCAAGGTTGACAGCTTCAAGCATCTAAGGCACCTGGAGATCCTTCAGCTCAGCAAGAACCACATCCGCAACATTGAAATCGGAGCTTTCAATGGGCTGGCTAACCTCAACACTCTGGAGCTCTTCGATAATCGTCTAACCACAATCCCCAATGGGGCTTTCGAGTACCTGTCCAAACTTAAAGAGCTTTGGTTGAGGAATAATCCTATCGAGAGTATACCCTCTTATGCCTTCAACCGTGTACCATCGCTGCGAAGGCTGGACTTGGGCGAGCTGAAAAGGCTCTCATATATCTCAGAAGGTGCCTTTGAAGGCCTCAGCAACTTGCGGTACCTGAACCTGGGCATGTGCAACTTAAAGGAGATCCCCAACCTCATTCCTCTTGTCCGTTTGGATGAGTTGGAGATGTCAGGAAACCAGCTCTCTATAATAAGGCCAGGGTCTTTCAAAGGCCTCGTCCACTTACAGAAACTGTGGATGATGCATGCACAGATCCAGACGATTGAGAGAAATGCCTTCGATGATCTTCAGTCCCTCGTGGAGCTCAATTTGGCCCACAATAACCTTACCCTCCTGCCTCATGACCTCTTCACCCCACTACACCACTTGGAGAGAGTACACTTGCACCACAACCCCTGGAACTGCAACTGTGACATCCTCTGGCTCAGTTGGTGGCTAAAGGAAATGGTGCCGGCCAATACCAGTTGCTGTGCACGCTGCGCGTCACCTGCCAGCCACAAAGGGCGCTACATCGGCGAACTCGACCAGAACTATTTCCATTGTTATGCACCGGTGATTGTGGAGCCACCAGTGGACCTGAACGTGACTGAGGGCATGGCAGCAGAACTGAAATGTCGAGCGAATTCTTTGACCTCAGTCAGCTGGATCACGCCCAATGGGTCCATCATGACGCACGGGGCGTACAAGGTGCGCATTTCCGTGCTCAACGATGGGACGCTAAACTTTACCAATGTCACAATGCAGGACATGGGAACGTACACTTGTATGGTGAGCAACTCCGCAGGCAACACGACAGCCTCGGCTACGCTCAATGTGTCCTCGACAGAGAACAGCAGCTTCAGTTATTTCACTACAGTTACCGTCGAGACCACAGAAGCGGCACATGATGTGGGCCACCCAACGGTTCAGCAGAAGGGCAGCCCTACTCCTTCTTCTGGGATTTGGGAGACCTTACCACCTTCCTTTACCACCACGACCATGACAGCACGGACACCACTGTCCACCAAGGCCACCGACAAGACCTACACCATCCCAGTCACAGCCCTGATTGATGGCTCCCTCAACACCTTGGATGAGGTCATGAAGACCACAAAGATCATCATTGGTTGCTTTGTGGCCATCACCCTGATGGCGGCCGTCATGCTGATCATATTTTATAAAATGCGCAAACAGCATCACCAGCAGAACCATCACGCACCGACGCGAACCATCGAGATCATCAACGTAGACGAGGATTGTGTAACGGGTGGACCTACCATGGAGGGCCACCTCGCCCTCCCCCCACTGGAGCATGAGCACCTGAATCATTACAACGCCTACAAGACTGCGTACAACCATGCCTCCACCATCAATTCTATACACAGCTCTGCCCACGAACCTTTGCTAATTCGGGCCAGCTCAAAAGACAATGTACAAGAAACCCAGATTTGAACTGCTTTTCATAATGTGGATTAAACAAAAAAAAAAAGACTTCTAAAACTCTTAAGGAACAGTAAGTGACATATCGATTTTGAAGATTGTCGAAACAATGACACAGTAGACCGATGCAAGACGTACGAGAAGGATGTTGACAGGTAGAAAAGGACATTGGGAGTTGAGTGTACGTCAACCGTTTCAAAAGTGTCTTTACATAACAGAAGTTATTTATTTAAGGAAAATAACTATTGTGGTTTAATCAAGAAAAGATGTAATCTGCAATTATTTTTCCAGCAATTATTTCTCCATGTTTTTTTTATGTTATTTTAAGGGTTGTTGGTTTACTAATATGCTTTTAAACTCTGTTTAAATCTATTGTTCTGTACGTGAGGACCCAAGTCATTTGCATACTTTCTGAAATCTCAAGATTCACATTTAATGTCGATACGTTTAAAATCTTAGGTTACAGATTGTCAAATTAGAAAACTTCCACACCATAATTGTTTAAATTGATCATGTTGATTCTAAAGGATTAATTTATTGACGTCCCCTTAATTAGTGATTTTTGGCTGTCACGTTATTCAGTTGTCCTTGATGAAAAAGAGGCTCTTTAAACTATATTGGTCCGTCTGTTAGCTGGTTTTAGAGGTGTTTTGGGCACTTTTCAACTGGACAGACTGGAAGACAAGCTTTTAAACAGCTAATTTTTCAACAGGGATGGCTGCTACACATTACATGCAGATGTATGCCTGGCTTCTCCACTCTAAAATTTAGAACAAGGAGCCCTGGAAACGTGTCCCAATTAAAACCGGGCCAAATGTCAGGAACACATATCTATTTGATGCAAGCAGGCAATTTCAAATCATTTCTGTGCTCGGGCCAGAAGATTTATGGATTAAGTTAGCGTTTGGAGGCATCCCACTTGACCTTAAATACATGTTAAGGCATCACATGCTTAAAATAAGCTTTATTTAAGTCCTTAAACTGTTTTCTGCATTTTCTTTCTCATTGCGTACAACAACTTGGGTCCCTGTGGCAGTTCATCCTTGACACCCAACTAAAGTTTCCCAATAATCAGATGCAGCACACACATTCTATGCCTAATTCTATATGGGCAGGGGGTTGAAGATTGTAGGCCTTTATTAGAAGTGGAAAAAGCATAAAGCTGGTACTGACGTAGCACCATTTCCATTTCAATCCACTTGTCTTGGTGCTTTCCATGGATACAGTTGAATGAAATCATTCTGGAATGGTCTAAAAGCCAGACACAGAACTCTAAATAAGTGGGCAAAGTCAGTGCGGCTCAGATCTAAGGCTTCCAAAGATGCCTCAGGTGTGTCTTTATAGATTCTGTGAACCGATTATGTTTTTTTCCCTCTCACTAGTTCTTTTTTTCTTGAATTCTTTCATATTCTATCTTCCATCATTCTGCACTGTCAATCTTTTCAGGCAGTTATGCAATTCTTTTTAAACTTTTAAATCATATTCAGTCACTTTAGTTTATTTTCGGTACAGACTGAGGATGATACATCCATCTTCGTCTTTACACACACAGTAGCCTTTGGCTGCAGGGGGAATGACTTGACATTATGAATTAATTTATGAAATCAGAATGGCCTGAGACGGTGACTATAGAAACCAATGACCTTGGATGGGGTGGGGAGTAGCCGACAGACATTGGCTTGACACTTTAAATGTATTCAGAGTCAAATGGGAGAGCGAGGCTGGGTGAAAGAGCCAAAGTGGACTCATTTAAAGTGCATAATTTAATCTATAAAGCAATCTAGAGGTCTATAGGTAATTTGAATTAACCCAATAAACCTGTGACATTTTATTCAGATCCGTAGCGTTTCGTTTTTGGCCCTTCATAATTCATGCAAAGCGCACAGGGGACTGACAAGGGGATTTTTCTCTTGCGTTTCTGGTCTTAATACAGATGCCGACTGATACCATGTGGCATTCGGTGAACTTTTCCGTATTGTATTTTGATCACACAGCAGATGCACTCTGATTTTAAAAGATCTAATGCAATTATGCTTGTCAGCTTTGCTATTTCAGATCATTACGAAAAAGTTTTTGAGCGTACCTCCTGCCCACTAGAAGCAAAGGCCATCTGGTACATTTTCTAATCAAGATATCAAAGCGTGCAAAAAAAGACTGTTCTTCATCTGAATATGCTGCTCTTTCGAATCTTAATTCATTTTCTTGTCTTTCTGAATTTAGTTTGCGTTGTCACTGAAATTGATGTCAATCTGAACATGAATCAATGGAGTTTAGCACAAAAGTAAACCAAGTCATTGGGTTTTCAGTTGCATTTTATTTATTTTAAGGAATAGAATCATTGTCTTAAATTGTCATAATTTTTGGAAAAGGTCTTTGTCATTTTTTTATAATATGATATTTTTTTATTATCATTTTTGTTTTTTGGCTTATTGTGATTTTCTTTTTCTGTATGTTTGTTCAGTCCCTTCATGCAAACACATCTGTGTTTTGGGTTTCAGTTTAGGAGTGAACGAGATGCTTTTCTCTCCGTTTCACGTAACTTCTTTCTTTTCGTCTCTGAGAGGGAATGCTGTTCTAGTGGTAGATTTCTATAAAAATACATTTTGAAAAGAAAAAGAAAAAAACAAAACAACAACTTTTTAAATTTTAATTTTACATGTGCCAACCTGTTCTAAAAGATTTTTAAAAAAAGAAGAAGAAGAAGAGAGAGAGAGCGAGATATGCTGTAAAAGACGACTGGGTTGATTTTCATGTAAACATTATTTCATGACCTTTAAAAAAAGATGGAGATCGATTATAGAAATCAGAGTTTGTAGTTCATACACAAGATAAGGTTACAAATAAACTATCATTGTCTTTTCTCTATTGTCTCCTTAGTTTTCTTTCACCAAGGTGTATTTTGTCAAAATGAGATTTAAGTTTATAACACTGTCTTGTATTTCATATTACACAGTTCAGCTTTGAAAAATATATTTGTGTATGTTTTAGTGCTTCAAAATGTCTCAAAACATCATCTTGCTGTGTTTTTCATTGATAGGCAGTATTTAGTTTGTGACTGGCTCCACCAGTTTTTAGATTTTAGACAGTATTACAAATGAGTGAATTGAGAAAAGACGCATGAAATGTTTCCTCCTTGCTGATCTAAAGCAGCTGGACGTAGTGCATGGTGCAGTATGAATAAATTTCACTGGCTGCCTCATTGTGTTCGTCGATGAGCACAGCAGTGCTGTTTTCCAGTGCTGTGCTCAGAGACAAATACCTGCGAGACGAAGCTCCACTCGTTTTACTTGTGCCTGACTGTTTTAATGAATATAATTGCAGTATTTAAGAGGAGAGGAGGAACATCTGTTTGGATCGACGTATAAAGAAGATTTGAGTTTTTACCTTTTTTTCTCCAGCAGATTTGGACATTATTTTAGCAGTGTTTTATTACAGTAGTTATCTAGAATTTATCACTAAAATAAAGTAGCATTTAATCACGTTTGTATTTAATCATTCAGCGGATGATTTTATTCAAAGCGACAAATGATGAAAAACAAGCAATTTGTCATAATGGAGTCAACAACATTAGCAATGTCTCAATAGCAAATGTTGGAAATAAACTAGATAAGCACAAAAGCTTGAATCTAAGTTTAATACAGAGCAGAAACAAGATTTTTTTAATAGTAAAAATAATTATTTGGATATGGCTTTGGGCCTGTATTTTCAGGCCAATGTAGCTTGTTTCATGCTTCAAATTGTTCATTTCCTGATGAACTGTCCCGTGGCTGTCCGTTTAAGACTAATTATGGAGCAGAAGGCCAGTTCACAGAAGTTTGCTCTTGACGTTGACCCACAATGCAACAAAAATGTTTTTTGGGGATACTGCCAACCCATAGTAGCAAAATGTCTCTATTTCTACCATTATGAATTATTAGCTTAGCTACTGACCCTTCGCACTGAGTTTGATTGACAGGCGATCATAATCCGCCATTTTTGTCCGACAAACAAACCAGACAGGAGAGTAGATTTACTTCGGTGGACTTGATCTTGAAAAATGATGTGTATTGACGTCTTTCCGCTGTTGAAACAAGATATCTTCTGATGTTCATTCATGTTTATTGCTATAACTAGTAAAGAGGAAGAGATGATCGGTTCATATGAAGCTTGAACTGAGGCGCTACAGCGATCTGTCACAACACATTAAAGAGCCACAAAACAGTATTTATTGTTTGAATTTCTTTAAAAAAGACATTTTGAAAAGACACAATTTCATATCTACACTATAAAAAATGGCCGTGAATTTAACAGTAAAAGACTGTAAAATGCTACAGTAAAAACCTGTTAAATGGTTAATGGTAAGTTCCCCTAATATATACGGTGAAAAACTGTATTGGACATTGCATGTAATTTTACGGTAGTATACCATTTTTGGAAGTGGAAAAAGAATGTATAATTTACAGTGAATAACCGTAAATTGACATTCCCAGAATTCCCTGCGTTACATTTCAAATTTGATGTTTTTTTTTTTTTTTAATAACTGTTTCTTCTTAGTTTTTTCTTATCAGTTTTGTGCATTAGGGTTGTATGCTACATCTTTGGTTCATCATGCGACTTTCTCATCACCACCTGCTTTTGGTGGTTATCAGTGTATTACAAAGTTACAAAACAGAGTTCAGTACTTCAATATGTTGGCATATTAACATTATATCAGTTAATGAAATTACGGTATTTAAATGTAAATTTAAGTTAAAACAGTTTTTGCCATTTTTTACGGATTTTTTTTTACAGTGTAAAGTAATCTGCTCTGTCTTGTCTATCGGCACGTTGCCAGTTTCCTCTTTGCTCCGGGATGTATATTATGTACATGATGTGTGGCATGAGAGCGCGTGGCTTGTCGGACATAGCAACAATAACAAAGGGGGCATGTCTTTGCGAAGGGTCAATTCCTGCATTTTAGTAAAGTAAGCAACAGTTTAGTTTAAATACCAATGTTCTTGTTTAATTCTTGAATATTCTTCAAAATAATGTTGTTGTGTTCCACAGAAGGTCATACAGGTTTGGAACGTCTTGAGGGTGAGTACATTTTTCGGTTTTAAGAAAAAAAAGGTGTTTTGGACAGTTTCTTAATCGTTATTCCCCGGGTTGTTGTTCAGCTCAAATGTTTATTGACTCTAGCAAAGGACTGACACATCTGCACATTCAAATCTTTGCATTTCATTAACAATGTGGAGCGGCGGCAGAGAGCAAAGCCATCTTTGCGAAGACAACAGGCACATTCATACAGAGCTGCACAATTCACTCGGCACCAATTAACCGTGCGTTTTTGTTTTGATTAAAATTCGCCATGCGCCTTTTGTAGTACTTTGCATGTTATTGTTTTCCGAACACTTCCCTCGAGTTTCTGTCTCTCT